CCCCCCGCATCCAGTAAAGGATGGAGATTCTCCTCAGCCCTCCTTTTGTTGCTAATGTATTTCTAGAAACATTTTTTTATTGTCTTTTATGGCAGTAGCCAGATTAAGTTCTAGTTGGGCTTTGGCCCTTCTAGTTTTCTCCCTGCATAACCTCACGACATCCTTGTGGTCCTCCTGAGTGGCCTGCCCCTTCTTCCAAAGGCCATAAACTCTCCTTTTTTTCCTGAGTTCCAGGCAAAGCTCTCTGTTCAGCAAGGCTGGTCTTCTTCCCCGGTGGCTCGTCTTTCGGCACATGGGGACGGCCTGCTCCTGTGCCTTTAAGATGTTCTTCTTGAAGAATGTCCAGCCTTCCTGGACTCCTTTGCCCTTCAGGACTGCCTCCCAAGGGACTCTGTCAACCAGGCTCCTAAACAGGCCAAAGTCTGCCCTCTGGAAGTCCAAGGTAGCAGTTCTGCTGACCCCCCTCCTTACTCCTCTGAGAATCGAAAACTCTATGATTTCATGATCGCTATGCCCAAGACGGCCTCCAGCCATCGCATCACCCACAAGTCCTTCTCTGTTCACAAACAACAGGTCCAGCCTGGTGCCTTCCCTAATTGGACCACTCACCAGCTGTGTCAGGAAGTTATCTTCTTCCACACACTCCAGGAACCTCCTAGACTGTTTCCTGATTCTATGCTGAATCTGCCAATCGTCCATTTCTCTCTGAAGGACTTCAAAGGAATGCGTATAGGGGAAAATTAGAAGGAACAATTACTTGTTAACAAGTCTGTTGGGTAGTTTCTTCACAACCCTAAGACAGTTAGTGGTTGGTTTATACCCTGAAGCATAACTATTTATATCTCTTACAAACATCTGTTGTAGCTTGTATATGTTAAAAATTATATTACTGAACTCCAACAGCTTACTTGCACCTTATGTTAACGTTACTGGGTGGTCCCTTTGCTCTTAATTACGAAGGAGTAAGTGAGGAGTGATGTATGTTAAGTGATTACTTTGTGTACATGTTTCTGCTCACCTTTAATCTCTTCTCTTAGATACTCCTTAACTTGCACAAAGTCTCCACATTTCTAATTATGATTATCCCTCTTAACTTAGCTTCCTTTCTACTCCACGTTTTACCTTCATACTTATTTTTATTAAAGGCTTGAATTTTTTTCCTTTCGCTTTGTTTTGCAGAACACAATGCTTTTATGAATTCCCTTTCGCCACAGATATCAGTGGAGTTTCTGATGGCAGTTCATGCATCAGCTTCCAGTTTACATGACCTTAAACATGTCCTTGAGTTTTCCTCACACTTTGTTTTCAAAATAAATAGAATGAGAGTTAATTCTGTTCTGCATGAAGCAGACTGGCTGACTCTCTCAGCCTCGGGTTATTTTTTTTTTTATTTGTAACTCTTTGGTTATAACACAAATGCACAGTTTTCCTTCTACTCTTGATTTCTTTAACAAAGAATAATTGGCATTTTTAAAGCTAAGTTGTCCAGAAGTCATGTGTTCTTAGGCCCACTTCAGATACCTTAGGCCATATAGTATTGGGTATAGCTGTGCTGGTTAAAGATGGTCCTGCTGTGAGTTGATAATCGCCACACATGAGCCAGAAATTACCACACTAATAGGTCAGCCAAGAGCAGGGGTTGTATGAGTGCACAGCAATGTGCTTCAGACCAAGTCAGCTGGTTTACATCATAGCCACCTTTAACAGCGGGTTGAACTAGCCTAGCTGACTTCATGTAAAAATGATCAGAAATCATTCACGTGTTCTGTGGGCTCAGTGGTAGAGCTGTGTAAGTAATTAGCTCTGGCAGGGTGGCAGTGATAAACATCTGGGAGTGATACCAGCTTCGTCTAGCATCGTTGTTTGCTGAATGAACATCTGCTTAGGCTGTGTATCTGCTAACTAGAACTGGATGCTGTATCCTAAATTAGGTTATAAAAGCCAAATGTGTAAATACCTTTTCAGTTATTTTTCTTAGTTTAACATAGTTTGTCTCTTACCACTACTGGGTAATGAGAAGATGTTTCTCTTTAGTGAACCAAAGTAATTCCTGAGTTAATTGCCTCAATTTAAGTGTGTGATGAGCTCAATTTGTTCTTCTTGATTTGCAGTAGTTGTCTTCACTAAATCTCATCAGTTGCTGTCTTGACTAATAGCTTAATCTTCTTCTGCTGTAATTATAAGTCAGAGGGGAAGTTCTTACGGGGAGATAAAGGATATACCTATGTAGAATTCTTTCCAGCTGTTCCCCTGGGAGAGAATAGGGCAAAAGTCCTTCTTGAGGAAATAATCTATGGATCTAGCTCAAAGCTGTGCACCTCTTTCTTCCTTTGTGTGGCCTGAGGGATTTCCAGATGTGACATGTCTCTTCCTTATGGAAATATGGAAGGAAGGGTTGGTCCAGCTTGTCTGATTCTCCAGAAATTCTTGCCATGTCCTACTGTCTTCACCAGTTTACATGTGTTATCTTTGTTGCTTCCCTCTCCGTGTTGTTCTTTCTGTCACTAATATGATCTCACATCCTTGCTTAACTCTAAGACATTCTTCCTCTTCTATGACTGTTTTACCTCTTCGTATTTCCTCCTTTCTGACTAAGAACTTCATCTTTCTCCCACAGCCAATTTCTTTAACAGCATTTTGTGAGGAACTTCTTCAACTTCTAAAACAATCACTGAATAGTGTTTACTCTTTCTTCATTGATCTGTTCAACTGTTCTACTTTTATTTTGAGGGTAGTTTGGTTTGTGCTTTGGATATCATAGTCAAAAATTAAATGTGTGCCTTTTGAGAAGGAAGAAAAGCTGCATTTTGTGTGTGCCCTTTCACTCTATGAATACAGAAAGACAGTGATGCCCCGGTTGTAAGCTACCACTTTTGAAAGAAAATAAATGTTTAAACATAAGGCAAATGCTTACGGGGCTGATATTTTAGAATATGTCCCCTTAACGTATTTTGAAAGATATCTCACTTTGCTATTGTGGCAAATGCTGATTTAACTTTAACATTACATGATTCAAAACTATTAAAAAAAAAAAAATTGAAGTGCTTCTATCAGTGAGTGCCTTTATGTTGTTCCCATATTTTATTTTATTTTTTTGGTGGAGAAATCAGTAATATCTTTGGAGTTTCAAAGAAAGAGATACTGATGTTCTATGAAGACAGATAGACAAACTAGAATGAGAAAATACTTTCATTAAAGCTATTAGAAAAACTCTAAATGCAGTCTTTACTCTTTTGCTCTTTAAATTGTAGTCTTAAAAAAAACATACTTTAGCATAGGAGTTCCCAAACTGTAGCATACCTTTTAGCTAGTATTCCACAAGCTACTTAAGATGATACGTGCGTGTTGTCTACAGATAGAAACTTGTTCAGCTCTGCAAGCACATGACCCAATGCCAGAACCAAGATCTGCTCTGTCTGCTCGTATTTGTGGTTCCCAAGATGCTTTTGCGTGCGTAAAATGGCATAGACTCCCAGAGAGTAACAGCTCCATTTAAGCATGAGTGAGTGAAAGTCAATAACCTCGTTTGTGAAGGAAGTCATGCTTACGTCATCCTGGTGAACTTCTCTGGTCTTTAAAGTGCTGCTGCTTTTTTTTTTTTTTTAAAGAAAGAAATTGCAGTAATGCTTAGGAATTGTACTTTGCATAGAACTTGATGCAAAGTAAGGCTTGAGGTTTGTCCTGAGGAGTTAGGTTTGTCTCTGTGCCTGAGACTTAACAACTGTTAAGTAAACACAGAAGGGAATCTTGAAATTTGTCCTGTGTTTCCTAAATGAAACATTTACTTGAGACTATTATAATCTGTAGGGGAAAGTATCCAGAAATGTAAAAATTGCTCTTCAAAATGGTCATATACTGTAGTAGTATGCAATGGTGAAGGAAAGATTTTAAAATAGTTGAAAAATTTGTAGCGATTGAACACGTAACAAAGAAAAAAGGTTTTGTTTCAGATCTTAAATTGGTGAAAATTCTAATACTTAGTTCTTCGATACTGACATAAGTGGAAGAGAGCAGAAAATCTGGAATTAATATCTGGATGTAATCTTTTTCAAGACATGAGCTGTCTACTTTTTTAATACGAATATTTTTTATAGTAGCTAAACATTAGGACTCCCATGTGTCAAGGAAAATTGAGTTCTATGGTAATATTTAATGGTAGTAGCTTAATGAATTATGTGATTTCAGTTGTAATGGCTGACAAGAAAATGAAATGTGAATTAGTAATTTGATGGATAAACTCGATATATATATTTTTTTTTTTTAAATTACTGAATGTCTAACTTTAAAAAAACATTTAACTCATCTGGGCACCAAACTCCAGCTAATCCTTAAAGAGAATAACATAAATAAATATATTTGTGTTATAAATCCTATTAAAATTAGTATTTCCCAAAGTATCAAATGTCTATGAAAATGAGATTTCTGAATTCCTCGGTCACTTTTGAAACTGTGTAATCACATAGGCCTAACTGTTTAAAAGTTGCTGGATATTTTTCCATTCTTTGAGCCTTAAATGACTTGGATGGTAGATTCCTGATGTCAGAAGTGATTTGAGACTTCGGTTTCTAATAGTAATTTCAGGGTCTAACTTCAGAATGTGGGATTCATACTCATAAGTAAATAGGGTATTCCTTAACACTTTACATTTGGTTCATTGGTTGTAGACTATTATTATTTCAGTTACAGTAATGCTCAATGTGTTGCTAGCCTTTTCAAAACACAGAAACATAAGTCTTTGCTCATTTCTAGATTTTATGTATTACCTTAGAATAAGTAGTGCAAAAATAAAAATTTACTTGAAGTTTGTGAATGTAAAAGAACCTCAGCCTCTTATTAAAAATCTTACATTAAAACATAAAATGATACAATGAACTTTTTGCTGATGAAACCTGTTGCATTTTCCAACTTGATTTTTTTTTTTTTTTGAGAATATGCACGTAACTATCACTGTCAATAAACTCACTGATTTTTTGGGTGGAGGTGTGCATAAATTTTAACTTTTTTCATCTTTTAGAACTGGATTCTAAGTGGTCACTTTTGTAACTGACTTTTTTTTTTTTTTTAAGAATATTTGTTCATACTTATGATGATTTGACATAATTAATGTTTTATTAACCATGATGGCAACACAGACATTAAGTATAGACAACTATCAAGATGGACAACAGGTAGGTGTGTTTTTCTTTCTCAGTGAACTAAATACAGTTAGCAAGAGAAAAAAGGTAGTGACTTTTTCCTTAATGCCTGCTTTGGCATTGTTTAAGTATCTGTTCTTGTTTGTAAAACAAGATCTTTGAAGTGATAAGCTGCTGTTCTTTAACACTTGGATATTTATTAAAGGCTTAGCTAATCTTTGCATGACTTTGCTTAACTTCTGGAAGAATGGTTAGATAAGGGGTTTTCTTCTGAATCTGCTCTAGATGATTTGTGTTCTGTAATGTTCCTATTCTTAGGAAAGTCAAATGACCATCCATAATATTTTGTGTATATGATTCTTCATGTATATGTTCTTCATGTATATGTTCTTATGTATCTCCAGTTACAATAGATAGATGACGTTTACGCAGTCGTAGACTTGATCTTGAGCAAGTGAAGGATAAATTTAGTTATCTAGAATTATATGCTACTTTGACTACATTTAAGTTGATGAGATTATGCTGCAGGCTGCAAACTGGTGAAACACTTGAATTCATTTTAATGAGGTTATTGATTAGAATTGCTTAATAGAAAGCTGGTCAGTGGGCTTCCAGTTTCTTATTTCTGTTAACAAACAGCTAAAATAATGAAACATACTCAGATATGTCTGGTCATGATGTTTCTTTTTTGTACAACAGGCTGTATATTGCAACAGTTTGAATTGCTAAACTAAAATACTGTTAACTGGAGACAAGTAATGCCATGGCCTGTACTCTGAAGACCCATTTTTACGTTACTATGTGTCAGCCCTAAGCAGTAAATACAAGTACTTCTGTCAGCAGATGGCAACAGTTGGCGAACAGTCAGAAGAAAAACAGCAACTTTTCCTATCTCTTATAAAAAGATGTTCATCTGAATGCAATCTGGGATTATTGATTTTTGTTGTTGTTGTTTGCTTCTTTTATTGCATTCTAATTTCTCTCTCTCCTCTCACCTACCTTACATCTTTTACTTTATTCCCCCAGCAAATACATGCCATCCTGTGACACGTCAGTGAAAGTAATACATGTTTTTGTAAAGAACGGATTGGGAGAGAGCATTTTCTTTCTATGTGTTTTGTATTTTAAGCTCTCAGTGACCAAGATAGACAGGTAATTTGGGTGCCTGCTGCTTTTGTAGTTTGGAAGTGGCCCACAGAAAATAGCTTGCAGTTTTAAGTGAGCTATTTCCTCCTTCTAGTGAGATAGAGCCCTAACTGAACATTCCCTCTCTCTTCAGACTCTGCAGATGTATGGCTCAACATTTATAATCGCTTGTATGAGTCATCCCCTTTTATTTTGCTCCTCCTTCTTGTCATTAGCCAAGAAATGAGTCCATTAGTTGCATCTTTTTTGCAAGCATTCTGCTTAAAAATCGTCTATGCTTGGTGAGGAAGCTTTTTGCAAGGCAGGCTGCTCTGTTGGGTAGGATAGCTGGCATTTTCTCAGTTTCTGATTTTGCTAGGAGATGGCTTGGCCCTGACAGGTAATAAAGCACAAACCTTTTGGTTCTCCCAGTCGTCTTGTTGGGAATAGTATAAATTCCTTTTGCTTATGTTGTGTGGAAATAGATTAAATTCTGTCAGAGTCAGGTTCTCTAATAGTTTCTGGAGGCCAGCTCTCCTCTCGGAGGGTTCCTGTGAGTGATGTGATATGTACATCTCATGGGAAAAGAGGGCAGAGGATTGCATTCTGTACATTTCCTTTCTGCAGGTGTCAATTCTGGCTGCCTGCTGATATCTAGAACAGTGTCTGCCCTCTACTCGAGATAGAACTTGTTAGGGTTGAAGTAGAAAAAAAAGATTGCAGGGATTTCTTGTCTTTGTACAGATGTTCCCAGTGCTCAAAGGGGAGAAAACCAAGGAGTTTGGGTTGGTGGGTGGGACCTATGACTTTCAGAGGTCAGGTTCCTTTAAGACCTTTTAATCTGAAAGATACTTAGCTGGAGGTGATGGGAAAACCACTTTCAACACCTTCAAAGGACCTCAAAGGCATTACCAGCCACCTAGTGCAGTTTAGGAGGTGCTCAGTAGAAGCTGTGTCTCTATGTTGTTTTTCCAGTGGTGACAGATGGTGTAACTGTGTGTTAAATGGATTTGTGTTAAATGGATTTGTAGAAGCAATTACTGCTGTTTTCTCCAGTAGCTTGATATTCCTAAAATAATGTTATTACAATATGTAAATTTGAGTGGTAAAGGTCAGGGGAGGTTATGCTCCTGATAACTGAACGATTGGAGGAACTGAATCCAGTTCCTGGATGGATTCTGTTCCTTCAATCTGGAGGAACAGAATATTTCAGTTCTTTGTAAGAAAATGTGCATTTTAATGGACAAGAAAAACTTCAGGATCTCTTTTCTTCAGTATCCTGATAAAATGGACAGTAAGAAATAAGAAAGAAAACTTAAGAGTAGAAACTTTACTTTCTGTTGTTTTCATTCTAAAGGCTTTTTATGCAGACATCCCCATAAATTTTTTGGAGCAATGTACTCTAGCCTATTCCAAAAATAGCCATGTCAGAGTCAAAATGCTTTAACAATTTACTAATATCTGTCATTCCCATTTTAAAGCCGAGTGCAGAAACTTGAAGTGACCTTTAAACTACCCATCAAAAAGTGTCAAGGATTAAAAGAGGGGTTTTGTTACTGCTGTGGCTTTTTGTGTAACTGCCAAGTCATACCAACCTTCTGGCAATTTAGTAGCCCTTTGCATTGCTATTTCCTTAGAAAACAGTACACTTATTTTATGTCGAGCATACAGATTTACTTACAACTTACTCTTTTTCTACAGATGCAAGTAGTAACAGAATTAAAAACGGAACAAGATCCCAGCTGCTCTGAAACTGATGCAGAAGGGGTGAGTCCTGCCCCTGTAGAATCTCAAACTCCAATGGATGCAGACAAGCAGGCCATTTACAGGTAGTAATGGACTTGTGTTCTGTCTTTTGAAGGGTAAAGAATAGAGGATTTTTTTTTTTTTTAATTAATAATAAGTAGCTTAGAATCAGATGATCTCTTGGCTAACTGTCTCAATAGTTTGCAGGGAAGAAATGAGATCAAATTAGCTTCACTGTCAGTCTTCAGCCAAGAAAAAAAAACTTCCCTTTATTGTGGGATTCTTCAATTTCAGCATAATTTTAAAGGGTATTCTAAAGATGGCAGCCTTTAAAGCACAAGTGAAACTTAGCAAGCTACTCGGACTGTTGAACTATGGTCACTATTTATTATACTGTAATTTTTATCTTTAATGTGAGATTTTATTTTTATTGTAATTAGGTTGATCTTTACTCCCTTTTCTTTAGGGATAGCAATCTATTGCCCAGTAATTAGCTCAAACTGGATTAAATGTTGATGTATAAACGTACTAATTTGAGATTTTCCAGTGTTAAGTGCTGCGCTAAGCAGTATGCTCAGTTTTGATGAGGTTAAGTGTTCTTTCACTTTAAGTGCTTTATAAAGACATAATTATTACCAGTTTGCAGGTAAAAAGAATACAAACCAAACATCTGAAGCAGAAAGATGTATCCACTCATTTACAGACTTGTGCTAACAAAATCATCTGCTCTGAGCGTGGTTTCATAGGAGGCCTCTGAGTACAGCCTGCATACTATTCTCAGTTCTGTAAAGTTATTTGTGATGTGTAAATAAGGCCCACATGGAAGAATAAATGGATTTTATCAGACTTCATTTCATAATTTAAATCTGCATTCATCCTATTTGTAAATCCTAATCCTCGTTTCTAATGCACTGTATTAATGTATTTCTTGCCACTCAATTACAGTGAATTAAATAGTATGTCATAGCTTTTTAGCTTATGATTGTTCTCTTTATTTAAATATATGTATTTTACTGCTTTACTTGCCTCTAGAGTGTGCAGTAAATCAAAATGAAAAAAAACCCCAAACTTTCATCATGTTTTGCTATAGCCAGTGGTCTTATATGCAGTCTCCTCCAAGACTTGTCTTTCTGTTTCTTACATGAGTGACTGTTACCTTATGTGAGCTAGACTTCTTACTTTTTCAGTAATGTACATATAAGTGAAAATACTTATGCACGTATTTTAACTTTTATTCTAGGCACCCACTGTTTCCTTTGTTAGCACTATTATTTGAAAAATGTGAACAATCTACACAAGGCTCAGAAGGCACAACTTCTGCTAGTTTTGATGTAGATATTGAAAATTTTGTAAGGAAGCAGGAGAAAGAAGGAAAACCCTTTTTCTGTGAAGATCCAGAAACTGATAATTTAGTAAGTATAAGCTGTTTCTTTTATTTCTGAAACAATCATCACATTTGCCGCCTCTTCCTAATTTCTGATCTCAACTGATGCTTATAGTTTCTCCTCACACTTTTCTTCCTACAAGAGATTCTTCTTTATGTTAATGCTGAGAAACTTTTTTTTTTTTTTAATTTCTTCTGACCCCTTTTTTCCCTCTTATCTGTAAACTTACATTGGGCCCTTCACAGTTGTTTCCCATTCTAAACTGGCTGAAATCAGTGTATTAGAGACTAACAGAAACATATGCTTGCCATAGCCAGGTTGACTCTGCAAATCAATTTTAGAGTGTCAAGTGTATAACATATGTTTATCAAAAACATGTAATCAATGTAAGCTTTTTTCCAACTTTTTTTTTAATCAGGGTTCATCTAGTTAATGTGGGAGAAGACCTGTTATAAGATGAGCTTAGAAACTCTTTAACATATACAAATATTTTTTCTTACGTGTCATTGTCATCTTCAGGCTTTCTGAAAGTCCTTCCTGTGATGAAGCTGTGATTTCCCCAGTCCCTTAGTCTCCCTCTTGGATCACATCTCTAGAGAACACCTCTCTTGGCATGCTAGTTTCTAAACTGTCTACCTGCCTTCGTCTCTTTAGAGTCATGTTGCAACTAGATTTTATCATATTCAAGAGTGTTAGCATTATAGGCGTCAAGTGTTTTGTTTCATTTTTGAAAACCTGTTCCTTTAAGGGGACTCTGTAATAAAACCAAGTCTTCATCCTTAAGTCTACCTCATAGGAGAAAAGGCTACTTAAAATATTCACATTCACAGACAAAACTAAATTGATGGAAGGTTGTACACAACAGAAATGGTAATGTTTTAAAGCTGATATCTAGAAAGATTTATGTGGGCAAATAATATCCTTTGTGGGAGGCTAAGGTAATGTACCTGGAGAAAACTCTTAAAATCAAGATTTAAACAAGAAATAAATCTGAGATGCTGTTTAGAATTGGCAGGAGTGTTGCAGTGAACAGCATGTTAGGAGGGGCACATATTGTTGCAAAAAAGGGGTCAATTTTGACTGCTTTTGCAAGCAGCCTAAATAGTCATCTTGCATAACTTGATTTCTTTCCAAGCACTTTATGACCAATCGTTAGTGTACTTAAGTTCTGGAAAGATAGTATTTAAATAGTGTCATGGAAAATAAAGCTACAAGAATCTCTATGTATAATTATACCAGTGTGAGAGTAAAGAAGGCAGAAGACAGTATGTTCTAGAACGAGGCAAGCTTTTACAGCTCTAGTTAAAGAGGCATAAAAATCTATCTTCTCAGCTACTTGTTGTATCCTTTTAACTGTAGGTTACAGTGCCCAGGATTGAAATATCTTAATACATTGCGTCAGTGATCTTAGTCTATGTAAATATAAAGTCACCTTAGATTAAATCTTCTTCAAAGATGGATCAAGTTAACACAATTCACTTTCTACTAATCCACCTGCAAGAGTGCTTTCAAAAAGTTCTCTTACAGCTTTGGCTGTGGAACTCTTTGTCTTACAGAAGCTTTTATTTTCTGCTTGGAAGCTTTTTGAGGCTTAAATAAGGTTTTAGTTTTGGGTCATCTTCTAACACAATGCCCTTCAGAGTGATGGGAAAGCAGCTAAAGGAGGATGCATAATATGATATATAATGATACTCTCAGTATTAGTGTAGAGATTCTCGGTGTATAAATGAAGAAGTGAAGAACAGGCATTGTCCACTTTGACCAAAGTTACAACTGGAATAGAATTGAACCCCCAAAATCTCAATTTAATATCTTAATCATTAGATCTTTGTGGGCAAATTTTGATGCAGTTCGCGTGAGAAATATTTATTGATACAGACAGTGACTTAGTTTTCTAAGTAGAAAGAAGCATTGACGTACCTACTAAAACAGTTCCATGAATAAACCTACTGTTGTCACTGTAGGAATTAAAAATAGAACATGAAAGAAGAAAAATAAAGGCAAGGGAGAAATAAACAATAATTCTCTTTAGTTACTGCCCAAGTGTGAGCAGCAGTGGTGTGGGGTGCTTTGCTTTTTTAATTTTTTATTTGAAATGTGAATGGTGTAATATTACATTTATGAAATACTTGTAGCACAATATAATGATTGTCTTACATTTGTAAGCAGAAGTAAGTACTTCAGAATGGTTATAATGAGATGGTCTGTCTGTGGAGAGTATGGCTATTCCATTGGGGTGCAGAAATCCTTGTAGATTGAGGGCCACTGGTACCATAATTTTAGATCTTTCTTGAACAGGAAAGGACTCAGGCAAATTTTGAGGGGGGAAATGCATTACTGAGGAAGAAGGAGATAAATACTTTAAAGAGCCATTAGTTTCTGAGGAAGACTAAATCTGGGCTAAAAACTGCAGTTCATCACGGATGCTAATTTGCACGTGTACAGAATCTTGTGGGACCTTTGGTTGTTAAAGAATGAATTGCACACAGAATTCCCCAAATAACATACCAGTTTCAGGATCTTGTGGTTTGACCCAGGTATCTAGAAAGTTGACTACCAGGAATGCTTTTAATTTTGGAATTGCTTCTTTCTTTGTCTCTTTCACTCTGTAATGTTTGGGTTTTTGTTACTGCTATCAGTGACACCTCCGGAGTGCTGCTTGCACATCACATGTGAATTTGAAGACACCAATAAAATTTTCCATGGTTCTTTCTTCAAAGACCTTTTTGAATATCCTTGCCTCCAATACTTTACTCAAAAATGAGTTAGTTCCGTTCTGCATGAAGCAGGTCTGCTGACTTGCTAAGCCTCAGGTTATTTTCTTCATTTGTAACTCTGAATTCAACACAAATATACTGTGTTCTCTTATCTCTCTAATCCAAACTTCTTTTCAGAAGCACATCTGAAATCTAATAGTTGGAATGTAGTAGTTCTGGCTCAGTGGATGAGGAAAGAGAAATGGATGTGGTTTATCTTTAGTAAGGCTTTTGACATTGTCTCCTATAATGTTCTCATAGACAAACTGATAAAATATGGACTAGATAAATGAGCAGTGAGATAGACTGAAGACTGGGTGAACTGCTGGGCTCAAAGGATTGCGATCAGCAGCATGAAGTCCAGTTGAAGGCTAGTCATTAGCGGTGTACTCCAGGGATTGATATTGAAACCAGTACTGTTTAACATCTTCATTAATGACTTGGATGATGGGACAGAGTGTATCCTCGGCAAGTTTGCAGATGTTGCAAAACTGGGAGGAGTGGCTGATGACCAGATGGCTGTGCCACCATTCAGAGGTACTTCGTTGCTTTTGGAGAAATATGCAAACGGGAATCTCATGGAGTTCAACAAAGGGAAATGCCAAATCCTGTACCTAGGGAGGAATAACCCCATGCACCATTACACTCTGGGGGTCAACCAGCTGGAAAGCAGCTTTGTGGAAAAGGACCTGACAGTCCTGGTGGACACCAAGCCAAATATGAGACAGCAATGCATCCTTGCGGCAAAGAAATTCAACATACTTGGGCTGTGTTAGGAAGAGCATTGTCGGCAGGTCAAGGGGTGTGATCCTTTCCCTCTGCTTGGCAGTGGTGAGACACATCTGGAGTGCTGGGTACAGTTCTGGGCTCCCCACTACTAGACATAGACATACTGGAGTGAGTTCAGCAAAGGACCAAAAAGATGATGAGGGGACTAGAGCATCTCTCATATGAAGAGAGGCTTAGCAAGCTGGGACTGTTTAGTCTGCAGCAGTGAAGGTTTGGGGGAATATTATCAGTGTATCTACCTAATGGGGGAATAAAGAAGACAGACTCTCTGAGTCTTCTCAGTAGTGCCCAGTGAAAGGGCATGAGGAAATAGATGTAAATTGAAACACAGGAAGTTCCATTAAAACATAAGAAAAAACATTTTTAGAATCATAGAATAGAATCATAGAATCATTAAAGGTTGGAAGAGACCTCCAAGATCATCGAGTCCAACCATCAACCCAACAACACCATGCCCACTAAACCATGTCCCTAAGCGCCTCATCTACCCGTCTTTTAAATACTTCCAGGGATGGTGACTCAACCACTTCCCTGGGC